CAATGTCGAACATCAACATGCTTTACACTACAGCGGGCTTCTTTGATTGGTTTAAGTCGAGAGTCTTCCTCAGCGCGAATGCTGGGGACTTCCACGTGCTGTCAGAACAACATGGAAACGACAGGAAACATAACGCATTAACTGGAATAGTTAATATTGAGTCAATGGTAACTGCTGACTGTATTCGCATGCTTTTTGATAGAGCACTGCAACTCTACTTTCGTCAACCAAGTGTTGAGATTGAGAGGGCGTGCTTTATGGTGTCCGTGCTTCCCCACAACTCCTTAAGCTTGCGCTCCCAAGAACGTGAGTTCAGCACTCATACAGCCCTCAGCCCCTTTAGCCTGAGGCATTGCTAAGTCCGACACCCCCGATCCCGGAAATCTAGTTAAGATAGTGGCCTAAAGAATCACCAATGCTAACTATCTTGGGAGTTCCTGATAATTACAGAAACTCTATTAAAATTATTCTACGTTGCCCTGGCAACACCTTACCTTTGGTTAGTAGGGAATGGAAGAATGGCAGTAGTAGTAGTTATAATTGTACCCGTTGATCCATTCCCCACTAACCAAAAGTAAGACACAGGACCCCTCAGTCCCAGCCTTACCAGCTGCGAGCTTTCCGTTTGCTGCGCCTGATGTTGGCCCCAAACAAAGTCTGTGTTTGTAAGTTTGCAAACAGGGTTTGAGGTTCAGGGGCGTAGGGTTCCTTTAATAAGGGTTCTACAAGGGATCTATACGGGTTTAGGGCTTGGGTTTAGGGTTGAAGGTGCAGAGTGTAGGGTTGAGGGTTTGAGGTATACAAGGTAATCGGATGTAGTAAGAAGGTCAGAAGTGGCGCTGGAAGCAGGAAAAGCCAAGTTTGATGGACTCATAACCCCAGCTACAGTATAACCTGCTTGCTGAGTAGAGTCGAAGGCATAAAGTCCGCCCGCGCCAAAGGTTGAATAAGCTCAACCAGGTTTCCAGCACAGGATAACACGTGCCTAATCATTCTGAGCAAGGCTTGCGGGGAAGATATACCGATGCGCCAGCACCCGCCACTCTCAAAACACTTAAAGCCTTCAGAAGCAAATAAATCTAGAACTGGCTCCCAAGTACCTGAGCTGATCCTGCGGTCGAATAGACACGGGAAGTCCACGGGCTTCGAAAGTTGGGGTCAAGTGTCGTAGGAGCCCGGAAAACGATTGTCAGCTCAACCTCAGATAACGTTATACGTTTAGTACTGCCCCCCGTGCAGTACCAGTCTATGTCTATAATAGAGCTGTTGTTAAGGGCCTTATACATCTTTATAATGAAGAATATTCAACTGCTATTGAGGACCCTACTCAAGGAGAAACCCGAAACTGAAAGCAGTCCTGGCGTTCGGGTTTGTCGCAGGATGCCTTGGGGCCGAAATTCGAGGGGTGACACCAGAGTGGATTGTAGCTTTTTGGGGGCCCCAACTTTAAATGGGAGTTTCCGAAAATTCGGGGTACCTTATATGGGGGGTCCTTGCAATAAGGATCCTACTCATTAAGGTACTATATTAGGGTCCCATATTTTCGGAAACTCCCAAATAGGTACCTCCATAGGACCACAAAGGAAATCCCGATGTGCCACTTAGCAGACTGCACGACCGGCCTCTGCGTCTACACGAATGGTTCCTTTGAAGATGCACTCCGCTGATCCTGGCAGGAGGGTTGACGGCTTGAGGGTTCGGGGTTGGTGGTTTCGGGTTTGGGGGTTTAGGGTTTGGGATTTTGGCTCACTCACAGTGACACATTGGGTCTATCAGCCGGATCTCCACCTCAAGCCCGGACGTGTGCCGGAACGAATGTGGAGAATGGACAACCGGGTGAAACATGCCAAATGCAACACCGTTGAAAACTCTTCAACCCATGTTCTCCCTGAGCCCAGCCCTGAACCCTGAACAAATCGCACTGAAACTTTGACACTACATCAACCCTACCTAGACCCCCAGAAGTAGGTAAAATAATGGCCCAAAACCTACAAAAGGCTATTCTGCTACATACTTTTGGGGTCCAGGTAGACCCTAAACCCTAAACCCCTGAACCCCCTAAACCCTAACCCCCAAACCCTAAACGAAGCCAGAAGAACAGAACCTTAAGACCGCTCCAGGCCTCCAACAAGATTCTTGTGCTGCTGCTTGCTCCTGGTCAGCTTTTCGTCTTCGGGTTTAGGGTTTAGATCAGCTTTTCGTTTTCGGGCTTCTGCTTTCTGGTCTGCGGGCTTCGCCTTTCTACGGAGGAGCCTCGGCGGTGTTCGATGTTAGGATCTTCGTAGGGTTTTTCAAGGTGTCAAAGGGCTTGATGAAAGTCTGAAACTGTCTTACACGGCTTCTTTAGCTTGTTTCTAACACCAGTAGACAGAATGCGCTGTCTTGATCAGGCTCCCCACTTTGTATCGTGCGAATCGAGGGCCGGAGTTCATGGACCAGGAGTCAACGTTAAATGAGCTTGAATCCTCTGTTGCACTCCTTTTGCTCTTCTGATCATGCAGGGGAACTGCAGCGTCAGGGCTTTGGGGAAGCCTGAGGCATTGGATAAGGCTGGGTGCCTGTGCCCAAAGCCTTAACCCAAAGCCCCCCTTCCATGGTCGTTGCAAGGATGGTGTCGAAGGGATCAGTTCGGTTCGCTGTCGAGATTCACCGTAAATCAGGGGGCCACAACAACCAGAATCGCACTCCGTTTGGTGGGTCATCGAAAAAATGTTCCCACTTCCACGTGCAACTCCTATTCCAATTCTTAAGGCCCCCTGAACCCTAAACCCCCAAGCCGAAACCCTTTCTCCGACCTCCTTCCCATAGTCTGAGTCAAACAAGGTGTAGGGTTTAGCGTTTAGGGTTTCGGCCACCTGCAAGAGGGCACCGAGTGGTGGATGAGGGAGTGCAGGTCCAGCTGTTGCCTCAGTGTCCGCTGAAGGGCTAAATCAAAGCTTTCAATCCTGAGGCGGTTCATAGCTTCGGGTTCAAGGCTTGGGGTGTCGGCTTAACTTACCTTTGGTTGGTAGGGAATGGAAGAATGCTAGTAATAGAAGCTATAACTGTACCCCATTCCTCCATTCCCTACTAACCAAAGGTAGCTTAAGGAGCGAGAATTTAGCCTTTGGACGTAGGGTTTTCCGTCCAAGCAAGTCACGCGCCAAGGCAGTTGTGTCTGGACGCTCCATTCTGCTCTGTGCTATAGCGCAGCGATTATAAGGAGCCCCAAACCCTGTGCTGTTGGCACCTTTGCGGTAGAGAACCCTTGTAGAAACCCCTACATAAAATTGTGAAAAGGAGTCCTCCGGTTGATGATATAAATCCTGCATTGCCCTTAATAAGGAATATACCATATCTTCCATAGTTTAGGGTCCTTAAGGCAATGCAGGATTTATATCATCAACCGTCCCATAGAGCCGAAGCCCTGATCGCCCTTGCCACTCCGGCCGAAGCGCTTTGTGTCCGCGAGCATCACGCCGGTAAGCTCCCCAAACCTCAGGCTTAGGGGCCTCAGGGTTCGGGGTTTAGGGGTTCAGGGTTTAGGGCTTGGGGGTTGGCTTAGGATGGCTTAGGGGCCTCAGGGTTCGGGGTTTGGGGGTTCTGTGTTTAGGGCTTGGGGGTTCGGAGTTGTAGGGTTTAGGGTATCAATGGACCTCCGGAAGCCATAAGGATCCAAGCATACACATAGTACCTAGTCCTAGTTCGGGGTCTAAAGTCTAAAAGCAAAACCTACTTCGGGCAATTTGGAGTCCTGGGGTAGGTTCACGGCGCAGAGTTGGATTTAAGGGCCATGGAAGATTCAGCGTTTAAAGTTTCGGGCTTCAGTGTTTCGGGCGTTAGGGTTTCTGGGCTTGCGGTTTTGAAAAGGATTGGCTCCTGCTACGTCTATTAAGGACTTGCCTTGTGGAATTTTTTAGCAGTGCAGGACTTAAGGCACTGAGCTTATTTGGAGGGTCGGGGGACTTAGTAACTGGTTATTTTCGGGACTTATAAGTACCAAGACCCCAATCAGGGCCCCTTTTAAGGTACTTCGCATTCCTCAACCAGCCAGTAGTTAGAATAGGTTTGGGGGAGACGATTAGAGTGTAATTCAGAGCATCAGCAAATAGGCATGATAAGGAAACACACTGTGATGACTATTATTGTTATGTTTATTGATACTGCTATTCTCCTTCTTATCATTCTTAGTACTGTTATAAACTACTGGGGCCAAGGGTCTCTGAGCTTGATAGTACGAGAATAAAAGGACTAAAGCCTATATGCAGTACCTGGACCCTACGGAACCTACCTTTTTTAGGGTTCCCTAATATGATTTCTTTATATAAGTCCTTAAAAAGGTAGGTTACGTGGGGTTAAGGTATTGCCTATACTAGCTTCACGTGGGCATAAAGGCACAGTGCACGCGAAGAGAGCTGACCCTGCAAAACAAAGTGTACCGTAGCTTGACTGCGCTAGAAGTAGAATGCAGGATCACAGACTAGTATAGGGGCCTAAGCAATTACGAATATAGCTTTTATATATTGGGCCCCAGAGTTATTCTAACTGTTCAGGCCCCTATATTACCACGATCAAGCCGTAGGCATGAGACCGTGCGATTACATTGTTGGTCAAACCAATCAATGCCCTGATGGTCCGATCCCGAACCCCTAAACCCTAAGAGGGCGGTCTACTCAAAGGTTCATGGGTAGTTATAAGTGTGGGTTACCATAATCATGAAAACCCTGATAGGGAACTTATAACTCCGCTTATAACTACCCATGGACCTCCAAGTATGATGGGCAAATGTCCCAGGATCCAGAATTGTAGTGGACACAGTGGGCTAGACGTTAACGCTGGTCACTATATATCTAGCGGGCGACGGATATTGACAAAATGATTTTCCTTTTGAAAACCTGTGGCAGCAGCACCGTGGCAGCAGCACTGCAACAGATCTGTCCGCCGAGCTGTGTCCTTGTGCAGCTGATCTGTCTCCCCGAAACCATGACTCCACTTTCGGTCTCGTCAAGTTCGTGGCAACCTCACTTCACGGCCTCCTTCACACGGAATAGGACCATGCCAGCAACCACAAGTGCAGTGCCAAGCCAAATCCTCAATACTGCGTAACCAGTGAACCAAACACTTGTTTCTGCCCACAGAACAACAACAACAGAAGAATGTGCACTAAGTTAGCATGATCCAAGACTCCAGGCAGACAGCGGTGGCTGTACGTTTGATGGTCCCATGATCCAAACCACAGTGAACGCCTGTGGAAGGGACGAATTCGGAGGTGGGTAGTTCGGTGGGTTTGGCCTTAACTTAAGGTCACCCTTAAACCCTAAGCCGAAACCCTAAACCCTGAGCCTGAAACCCGGAACCCTACAGTCGTACCCTGCAGAACCCTAGGCCCCAGTAGCCGTGTCGACCCCTTAACGGAGCCCCTGAGCCCGAAACCCTACGGGAGGTTCATGGGACTTAGTAAGTACAGTTATAAGTACCTTAACTGGGGATACAACCAATTCTAAGTATAGTTACCTTGTTTTTAACCGTTGTTACTAAGTACCATGAACCTCTAAGTAGACCCTAAACCCTAAACCCTATAGATCCCATTAAGGAACCCTATAGATCCCTTTAAGGAGCCCTTTAAGGAACCCTAGTTACTAACTACCATGAACCTCTGAGTAGACCCGGCTGATGCCTGTGAGGCCAATGGCACGGCTGCAGCTGCAACAACCCAGAGGAGGCCGGAAGAGAACTTGGCAATCACAACCTGGGGTTTAGGGGTTCCTTTAAGGGACACTATAGGGGTTTAGGGTTTAGGCGGTTTAGGGGTTAAGGCTTCGCAACCTGGGGTTTAGGGTTTAGGGTTTCGAATCTGGGGGTTTAGGGTCTAGGGGTTTAGGGATCCTTTAAGGAACACTATAGGGGTTTAGGGGTTTAGGGGCTGCTTCAAGGGGTTCCTTTAAGGGACACTGTAGGGGTTTAGGGCTTAGGGTTCTAGAATCTGTTAGGGGTTAGGGCCTGACAACCTGGGAACCCCAGGCAATGCCCCAAAATCCGAGAGACTCCGGTATTCCTAAACTTGAAACCCTAAACCCCTAAACCCACCCAGGTTAGTGATTGACCCCAGAAAAGTATTCGTGAATACGTACCTCCATACGGTTGATGGACAAATCCTGCATTACCTTAAGGACCCTAAACTATGGGAGCTATGGTATATTCCTTAATATGGGTAATGCAGGATTTATATCATCAACCATAGGACCACAAGAGAACTTGTAAAGTTTCCCAAAGTGCCACCTAGCAACCGCCTGCAAGGTCTTCACGGCGATGAGCGCGACCACGAAGATGGGATACAAGTACGACAGTGTCCTCTCTTCTTCAACAACCGGGCCCCCAAAAGTTCAAACTTTCGAAGGTAGAGCTCATATATAAGGCCAAAAAGTTTAAAGTTCTCCCGTTCACTATCTAGGTCCAAGTGTCGCACACTCTTCATCATTCGCGCCCTCGGTGCTGCCTCGACCGGCAAAGAGACACTGGAAGCCGTCCAAAAGATTCTGTGGCGACTGCGCAAACGTGAGGCCCTGCAGAGGCACGGATGCCACCCAAACAGGTGGCAAAGCAACGACCTCCCAAATATTGATTAACGTCCAGAGTTTCCAGAAAGATACCTGCGATCTCTGCAGATTGTATTCCATGAACACCTGGGCTTTGAAGTAACCTGAAACAGGTCCCAGAAAAGTATTGAAGTATGGGTAGCCTAAAGTCTAACCCCTAAACCCTCCAAAGCCCAGACACGGTCGACAGAGCCCCCGGAAACGCCTGCGCCAGGAGCAAGCAGACAGCACCAATGGACTTCGCCGTCCACTCCTGGCAGGGCCGCAGACTTGGAGCTTTAGGGTTTAGGGGTTTAGGGGCTTTACGGTTTAGGGCTTAGGGTTTAGGCATGTAGGGGTAAAGATTAACATAAATGTTATCTGCAAAAAGTTAGCTTCGTTCCGCTGTGTCTGCTCTGAAGCCCTTTTCTTGGGTCAGTTTCAATGCCCTTGCCTTGCCAACAAACGATGCCAGGATACCAGCAAGGATGAAGGCACAGCTGAGGAAGTGGGTGCCGAAGTAACGGCGGCCAAGAAAACAGACCGAAAACAGCATGGTCAGCGGTATAACCGTCTGCTGTATCAGGAGGATTAGAGGGCCTGACACGAGATGCCCGCGAGCACCGCTATACCCCAGGAAGTTGTAGGTCGTAAAGAGAAGGCCCGTCACTGCAGAGTGCCAAACCTAGGTGGGCCCGTTAAACGCCTCTCAAAAATACCTTAAATAGGATCCGCTTAACCCAATCAAGAAAGCCAACTAAACCCTAAACCCTGAATCCTAAACCCTAATTCCTAAAACCGTAAAAAATATCCGCAGTGCCTCACCTAGAAACTCGGAAAGTCGGCTTTGAGATCTCCTCGCTGCTAGTGTCACTCTCGCTCAGCTCTTCCTCGGTGTCCGTGGCTGCAGACTCCTGATTTCGGGCTCTAGGGCTTTTGGGTTTAAGGTTTAGGGTAAATGGTTTAAGGTTTAGGGTTTAGGGTTCAGGGAGCTACCCGAAGGTCCCGAAGTAGTTCCTTTTGGGGGTTCATTTATAGAATCCTATAGGGTACTCCCAAAAACTACGTTGGGTGAGAAGGTCGTAGGCTTTCTGGAGTCTAGGGGCTTGGGTGAGTAATATTTAGGGGCCTTAATAATTAGAACAAGGTTTTGGGGGCCCAGTATACGACAACAACTGTGCGAAGGAACTCCCAAAATAGTTTAGGTAACTGTTTAGGCCCCTATATCCCTAAATCCCTTTTGGTACCCTTACAGTATCCCTGAAATGACCTAAATCCCTTTTGGTACCCTTATAGTATCCCTGAAAGGAACCCTGTAAAGGAGCCCTATTCTATTCTTTAGGCTGTTGCGGGCTTCAGGTCCTCCTTCTCCTGCCTGCGGAAGCACATGGCGGCCCAGACGATGCCAAAAGCGACGGCGATCCAGACCGGCTGCAAGATGGTCAGCACGAAAGGAGACTCTTTCCTATTTTTTTTGCCAGGGAACTTACGTTGTGTGGTCTAATAAGGCTTTATTATGCACCGTAGATGCCTGTTATGGTAGCTTAAACTGAATTCCTTAACCAGAGCCCAGCGTCATAACGATGGAGACTCTCTTGTGGGACACGCTCAGGCAGGCCTGAGATATCCAAAGGGCGACCACGAAGACATTGCTCCAATTGAGTAGCGCCCTTTTCACATCCTGAAGCGTAAGGCTCGCCATCAGGGACAAGCACTGGCCGGCCTGCCAGTGTAGAAGGCCTCCTTCCTTGGGCCGAAACCCCAAGGGTCCAAGTACCCAATAATCACATACTCTCCGAAATCCTAACCTACATAACTACTATCCTAAAACCGAGTACCTAATTATTGGGTCCTTTGGACCCTTGGGGAAAGTTCGTTTGACAGACGCTCTCCTTCTCCACCAAACCTCCTCTCAAACTTGACTGCTCCATTCCTGGCAAGAATGCTGACCATACATCTTACAACTATTGAGCTTGACCGGGGAGAGCGAGAGACAGAAGCAGTGTCAGTGTGTGTGTGTGGGTGGGTGTGAGTACGAAAGTAAGCGTGATTCTGTAGAATTTGTCGTGTGCAGCATGTTGGCTTGGTGTGTGGGTGTGTGGTCTGCCTCTGTGGGTGTGCTCTGTTGGCAGGGTTGGGTTTTAATTTGTTTTCTTGCACTTGACAGATGAAGGTGTAAGTGAAGATTATGGGGAAGATGATGATGAAGGTGCCGGTGGTTATGCCGATGATGCTGGTAATGATGATGGTGATGCTGATGATGATGACTGTGACATTGATGACGGTGATGCGCGGGGAACAGCGTAAGACTGGCAACACGACCATAACGAACGACAATGCTGACATCGACAGTGAATGAGGATGGACCGTGCGCGAACGCGAGAAGTGGTCGTGGCGGTGATGTCGGTTGTGCTGTCACCGCTATTGATGATTTTGCTGTTGTCGTCGTCATCGTCGTGATCATCGTCGTTGCTGTCACAGTTGATGCTCCTGCTGCCTGTACCTGATCTGATTATGTTTCTTGCTGGGGCTGTGTTTTTTGCTCTTCATGTTGCTACTCCTGTTGAATGCTAAGGCTGGTGGCAGCGGTGACCTTTTCTCGCCAATTGCGCAGCTGTCAGATCAAGACGACCATGTGAGGCTTGTTGCTAGTAACACATGTACACAGGGCGACAACCCAATTCGGAACAAGCCCCACATGCTGTAGACGAAACAGTTCACCTCCTCGTGCGGAAACCCCAGGACATGACGCTGCACCAATTTTGACACTAAACCTCGACCCTAAACCCTAAATACTAAACCTTCACAAACACTAAACCCAAGTAAGTACACAAATCCTTCGTCCCCAATCCCTTAAACCCTTCCCAAACTGGAGGCGCTATTCCCTCAGTCACCCTCCGACTTTCCAACACCTTACCCATAGGCTCTATAGTTGTTCTTTTTGGGGACTACCTTATGGGATTCTAAATATGAGCCCCAGAAAGGAACTACTTTGGAGCCTCTAGGTATTGACAAGGCAATAAAGCCTTGTGAAACATACAGGCGCTAGAGCCTTTTTCACACAGTAGTTCGTCAAGATATATGCCCGAAAACTGCATTGCGGGAATTCCGGGTACCCCATAACCCTAGTTACACCTCCTGGGCCTCCAAGCCTGGGAGTTAGGATTGGGGGGACCCTTGGGGATATAGACCCTCTCAATAAGGCCCCTTTTAAGAGAGCCAGAAGTAGGGTTCAGAAGGGGTACCCTTTAAGGGGTCTCCCTAATAATACTACCTACAAGCCACAAACCTAGAAAGTCCCAAAACGTAAGCCTTCAACCCTATACGCTCGAGGCCTTAACTAAAGGGCCCGACGGCAAGACTCCTAAAGTAGGAACTAATTATTGCAGTAGGTACCCCTAAGGGTCCATGTAACCGTTATATAAACAGTATGTAGTCTTGCCGCAAAGTAGCTATATCGGGACTACTTTACTGCCCAAGTATGTACGGGTACCGCATGGACCATTAGGGTACTAGCTACTAGTTGTATACCTGGAATCTTAGGGTTGAGAAGCTAGACCCAAGAGTAACCTAGGAATAAAAAGGGTGCCCTTTTAGTTTAAAGGGGCTTATAAGGGAACCTGAACCCAAAAAAAAGGAATAAGGGCCTACTCTAAGTCCTAGGAAGAGAAAGAGCTGCAGCGTAAGGACGCTGGGATCTCCGGATGGCTATGGACACACGGAACCTACATCCTGCTCGCTGGATGTCAGAGAACTTTCAGAGTTCAGGCTTTTAGATGGTTTGCGGGTTGAGGGCTTTGGGGTTTCAGGATTTCGAGCTCAGGGTTTAGGGCTTCAAGGGGCTTCGGGTTTAGGGGTTTGAGCTTTGGGGCTGCGGATGTATAGAATCTAGGGTTAACGGTGTAGGGCATTTGAGCACCAGTAGTGTCTCGAAGTGCTTGATCACCTCAATGCACCTCACTGTGTTCCCTCTAGACTGGGATGTCGTACATTGGCTTTAATCATGAGAATGGGGTTTGGATGTATAGCTTTGTACTATGTTTATCACAATCAAAAGACTAGAAATAATACTTATATTTCTCGACGACACTCTTGCGAGGACTCAACCGGATTGTCCTGACAGAAACGAAGCACTGGCTCGGTGTTCGACCTGTTGATTCTTCGTGCCGTTTGCGGCGTCCTTTTACAACAACGTGAACGCAGCCGAAATAGCTTACCGAACCAGCGACACGTCAGGCATAAGAAACTTACATGGAGGTCGGGACGAAGCAACAAACGGAGATCGATCTGCTCTGTCTTAGGAGAGTGGATGGCTGCTACGCTGCGTGCGGGCGAAGTCTAGTCTTCTTGCAGCAGTTTCTCCTCGTTGCTTCAGTCACGCTCGTCCGGGTCGACCACGGTGACGGCCTGCAAGCAGAAGCCAGCAGTTCGTGGATGGGAAACGCTCTCTTTGTCCACGACAGCAGGCATCAGACAGTACGAGGAAGCAAGTCAATACTTAGAAACCGTATTCCTTATGACTCCAAACTATATGTCTAGTATAATGTCTGCCCTAAAAACCCCAATCCGATCTTTGACGCCCCTGTATTATTGTCATTGTTATTGCATTGTCGCCGTTGTTGTCATTGCTACTGTTACTGCAAATACTGCCATTGCTTTTTAATAAGGTGACTAGTATTCACGAACTAGTATCATTATCATTATTACTGTCGCAGTAGTAGTAGCAGTAGTAGTAGTAGTAGTAGTAGTAGTAGTAGTAGTAGTAGTAGTAGTAGTAGTAGTAGTAGTAGTAGTAGTAGTATAGTAGTAGTAGTAGTAGTAGTAGTAGTAGTTGTTGTTGTTGTTGTTGTAGTCGTAATAGTAGTGGTAGTAGTAGTGGCAGCAGCAGCAGCAGCAGTAGTGCTATTGTCGTAATTCTTGGGCTCTCTGAAAAAGACTTGAGCGATTCCTTTTTTTCAATCTGGCAGTGAGTTCATGCCACATGATTTCTGAAGACCTCTCGAAGACTACTATAAGGGCCTTTATTACAAGAACCGGGGTTTGAGTATTGGTTATGATTAAGGTCACTGTTGGAATAGAAACCCCTAGATCCCGTATTATAGAAGCCTCTAAGGATCCCTCTAAAAGAACCCTATTCAAAGTATTCAGGCCCCTATATCCCTAAATCCCTTACAGTATCCCTTATGGTATCCCCTTAAAGGGACCCTTTAAAGGAACCCTGGTATTCCGTTCTTTGCCCATGTAGGGTTTCGGACTCAAGCTGCGGCTTCCTCCGGTGGTGGCCAGCGGCGCGAGGCGTAGTCTAGAGCCGCCGAGTCCTGGAGGCAAGAACCATAAGCCCTAAATCCCAAACCGAATCGGCCCCTGGTGTGAAAACCCCAGCATTCGCATCATCCTCTTCTCTCTGCCACTCGTCGAGGTCAAACTGGAGCAACGGCTCCTGCATTTTAGAAGATCTGTGTTGTGCCTGTTTAGCCATGAACCGCATGAGTTGGGGGTTTCTTCGGCACTCGATGTGTATATATATATATATATATGTATATACACATATGTAAATATATATATATATATATATACACACATAATGTATATACATACATGTATATATATATATATATATATATATATATATATATATATATATTGTCTACTGTTTATCTTTATTTGCCTGTTTTCGGGCATAGAGCTTTAGAGGCATGCCGAAACTAGCTGATCACAACACCTGCCAGCCAAGCCCAAGCCGCACCTTTGACAATACACCCCATGGCGATCACGGAACAAAGCTCGGGGTTAAGGGTTTGGGGTTGAGGGGAATGCCCCTGAACTTGGGAAGGTGCCAGTGGTAGTGGTGCCCTATAGCTGAATCCAGGTGCAATAGTCTCTGGGTGTGAAGAACCCCATGGTGTGACAATATTTGGCTTTAGAACCTTTCCCCCACATGATTGAAACAGAAAGCCATAACAGCCTTATCAACAAATCCCAGTTGAACCCTAAACCCTGAACCCCCAAACCAGCCGAAAACAAAACACACCCCAAGGGTCCAAGTACGCAATAATCATATGCTTTCCACAATCCTAACCTACAAAACTACTATCCTAAAGCAGAGTACCTAATTATTGGGTCCTTTGGACCTTTAGGGAAACAGAAAGTGAGATTCGGATCTCTGAGCTCCTCACATGCGAGTTTCCGAGAACAGGGCAGCCTAATATAGTACCCTAAAATACTAGGATCCTTATTAGAAGGACCCCTAGTAAGGTAGAGTTTCGAGAATGACTTGGTTTCTTGAAAGGTCCCTAAGGAGCAGGATCCTCCTTATTAACCAACTCAAAAAAAGGCACCCCTAATTCGGAAACTCGAATGTGCTAAGTTCCTCAGTGGCGCCTTACCCTAAGGGTCCATGTACCCAAATAGGCTCCGTTAAGGGATCCCTTAAGGTTACCCTAAACCCTAAACCCTAAACCCTAAACCTTAAACCCTAAACCCTAAACTTTAAACCCTAAACCCTAAACCCTAAGTATCTCAGCTCATCGCATGGCCCCGGCCTGAAAAGTGAAGACTCTGAGGATCTCTTCCACAGCCTCGAAACTCCAAAAACCAAAACCCTAGGGTTTAGGGTTTAGGGTTTAGGGTTTAGGGTTTAGGGTTTCCATAAAGCCTAAAACGCTAAACCCGAAAACCCTAAACCCTACACTCTAAAACCCTAAACCCTAAACCCAAAAGCACGTGGCTTTACTTCCAGGGCTCTGGTTTCGGGCTTAGGATTTGGGAGTTTCCGACAATAGGGGACCCCAATATAAGACCCTAAATAGTAGGATGCTTACTATAAGGACCCCCTCAATAAGGTACCCTTAATTTCGGAAACTCCCATTTAGAGTTCGGGGGGGGTTCAGTTTTATGGGGTTGTGTCGGGGACTGAGAGGACAAGGTGCTGTGGATTTCTGCAGGATGTAGGGGTTTGCTGTGCCGGAATCAAAGTGGCTTTGGAAATTCGGCGGAGTTGTAGTGGCCAAGGCTGTCAACTTGAATGGCTCAGGCAGAAAGATTGTACAATACCTAAACATCGGGTGTCTAGATGGTTCCTACATGGGCTTCTTATAGACACTGCAAAAGCTTCTGGATGTCTAAGCTGATGGAGCTCAGTATATCTCAGTATCTGCATCCTACCGAAGGGTCCAACCTTTAAGGAAAACGCCCAACAGCCTGCGGCGGGAAGACTGCAACAAGCATAGGCCGCAGAAGCAAACTTCAACTAGTCTGCCTTTACCATAAGTCCCGGAAAAGGCCTACGAAAACCTACGGCTCGGCGCTGAACCGTGAATCGAACCAGAAGCAAACTGTGAATCTCCGGCTAAACCCCATCCCTTCCAGGAACCCTTAAACTCCCTTCAAGCCCTAAGCCGCTGAGGGCCTCGATGTCGCCCTGTAAAACTGCACTGACGTGGCTGGAGAAGCCCACAGCACCTCAGGAATTGAGCAGATACCTCCTGCAGGCTTCCGGTTCCTGCTCTTAAGACACCTATAAATGGGTGCTTGTCAGAATTATGGGCCCTTTTTGGGTCCCTATTATAATACGGCACCTGTTATTGAGGGTACCCAAAAAGGGGACCTTAATTTTGACAACTACCCATATTATTGCACTCGAAAACAGCCCAAACTCGATAGAACCTTTCACAGAACTCTTTTCTGCATGTTGGCGACTACGATACCCTATCAAACCGTTACAAGCCCGGTAACACTGTAGTTCTTTAGACCCAAGAGTACCCTAAGAGTAAAAAGGGTGCCCTTTTTGGTTTCAAAGGGGCTTTTACGGGGACCTGAACCCTAGAAAACGGGAATAAGGGCCTACTCTGTGTCCTGGCCTCCTTCCTTGGGCCGAAACTGTATACAGCTTTGCTTCAATAGTCTTCCTTTGTAAGCCCAGGTGCCCAGGATTGCCGCGAACTCCCTCAGTTTGCGCTCAACGTTGGGGTGTGAGGCACCTCAGCGTCAGCCCAGAGAACCCAATACCCCTTAATGAAGGAATATACCATAGGCTTCCTTAAGGGGCCCTCATATTGTGATTCAAGGTATATTCCCCAATTAAGGGGTATTAGGATCTCTGGGGTTTAGGGTACCCGTTAGAGTTCCTGTAGGGTTCCTAGAAGGGATTTTCTGGATGATCCCATAAGTGCTTAGGTTTTAATTTAAGGGTTGGGATTTCAGGGTTGAACAGTCTTGCTGCTGATGGCTCGCATCTTGGATTGAGACAGTCGTTTCAGCCCAGCGTCTCGGCATGCAGGCACTGACCCCCCTTCAACCCGCCACAGAAACCTAGCTTCACGGCCTTCCAAACCTTGCAAGCCCTGCAACCCTAAAGCCTCGAAACCCCCGAAACGAGCCACCCTAAACCCCAAACCCTACAACCCTAAACCCCTCAAACACACGAAACGAGCCTTTGTTTAGGTGGTTTGCAAAAGAATCCAGCCCGAAACCTACGGTGCCTGACAAGCCCCACGGCGTCTGAAAAGAGTTGAAAGGGTTATTAAAGGGATCCTTTAAAAGGTGCCTAAAAGGGATCTATAGTAGGGTTCTATGATATAAGGTGTTTTGGGGCCCATTATACGATAATTAGAATACGGAACCCCCAAAATAGTATAGGTAACTCTGAAAGCCCATATGTTAGGGCTCCGGGCTTCCATTCATCCTCAAACCATCAACTCTATAGTCACCGAAAGCCCCGAGCCCCACAGTCCTAAACCCTCCACTAGTCAAAGCCCAAAGGCTCAACATAGCAAGGTCTTCGGTCTCATTTGAAGGCGTAGGAAGTAGACATTACCCAAAGGCCTCAAAGTAGTTCCTTCTTGGGATTACCTTATTTCTAAGTATGAACCCCGAAAAGGAACTACTTTGGGGCCTTTGGGTAGAGAGCCAAACTCAGAACAGCCGGCGAACGCCTCTACAGGGACTCTTTGCGCCAAAGCACCCCACAGCTTGAGGCCAACCTGAGTCGACACTTGCTTCGAGACTTAGGGAACATAGTAAGTAGGTCATGCGTAAGGTTGTAGATACCGGAAATGGTTTGGGATTGAGGCTTGTACCCTCGGAAACGGTACTTCACATTCTTCATGCCGCTATAGTTGAATGAAAAGCCTGGCAACGAGACAGCTCTTCGTGTTGTGCAGCAGTGCCAGAGGAACATGGCCCATGTCGTGCAAGTAGAGCTCACCGAGGTTGGCGTGCCTTCGCGCAACCGACAAGGTCAAGATCATGGTTACGGGCTGTCTAGAGTTGTCTCAGGTTGCCGTCGGCAGGCTTGGGGTTTAATATAGGGGCCTAAATTACCAAATACTATTTTTTTTTTGGGGGGGTCCTTGTTATGGTTATAGTACAATATACTCCAAAACGGTCTTAGGATTGGGTTTTTTGCGTCCGAGCTCTTTGCGGGCTCCATTGCAGGCTAAAGATGGCACGGCCACGACCGACCATGGTCATCGCGATGATGGGCATCATCAATGCTGCCACAACCACCGCATGACCACGACATTAGCATCGCCTGGATCTTGAATGTCTTCATCATCACAACGATCGTCATCATCATCGTCAGCATGATCGTCATCATCATCATCATCATCGGTATCCTCATCATAACCATCGTCATCATCAGCAGCAACATCACCAACATCATCACCATCCACTCATCCACAACATACTCTCCGAACAATCCGGAAACATGTTGACCATCAAAGCTAGGGAGGCAAGCATCTTCAATCTTCGCCATCATCGTCGCCACTGTCACCCTGTTGAAACGCATCGTCACTGTCAACAAGGACATGGCCATCATCATTCCAAAATCATTACCACCATCATCATCAGCAGCATTATCGTTCATCAGCATCATCCTTCGTCAGCATCATCAGCAGCAGCATCATCAGGCGTTGTTCTTCATCATTCTTCCAAAAACCAGCAAATGCAAAACCAGAGACACCACACTCAGCAAATTGCAGCAATCAAGCTCATTCTTGCCAGGAAATTGTCACAACCACAACACCACCGCCAGCAGCAGCACCAGTACCAAAGCATAGGCAAAAGTAGCACCACAGCCGCCACCCCACCACCGTCACTACCACCGCCACCGCCACCACCACCCGCCAGCACCACCCCGACCACAACCACAACCACGACAATGACCACCACCAACACCGCTGCCAACCCCGCCACCACCACCGCCACCGCCACTACCACCACCGCCAAGACGACGAAGCTCCTGCCTACTCCCCTTATTACAGTTTAGGTAGGACAGGTAGGGCTTCTGCCGATCTTAGGAAACCAACGCCGAAAATGCGATCCGGAAAACGACAGCAGTGCCACCGAGCTGCGTGTAGATGGACCCTTCGTTGACCTGTTTGGGGATTGAGGGCGCGCAGCGGCTTGTGATTGGTTTAGGATTGGGGGGCCTTGTCGTTCGGGGTGTGATGTCTTCGGGCTTCTGGTGAGGATCTTAAGGAAAAGGAACCCTAACAACCCCTAAACCTTCTAGGGATGCAACAAAACTCTGAACCCCAAGAGCATTCAAACAGCCATAAACTGAGCTCCTGCCAGACCTTACAAACCCTGAAAAACCTTCTAACAGAATTACCTCCAAAATCTGCAAAAACACAAGAGAACTCTCTTAAAGCCCTTGTTAAAATCCTTACGCACGTACTGCCTCGCCAGCAGCCCGCACGAGCATGTCCTCCGCGCGCTGGAGTAGCTCCGCGGCCTGCGATCACTTGGATCTTTATGGTGTAAGTGTAAGGGTTTAGAGTGTTGGGTTTAGGGTCTAGGAGTTTAGAGTTTTGGGTTTAGGGTCAAGGTGGTCGATAGAATAGTTTTGTGGGTTTGAAGTTACAGGAGTTTGCGTAGTGAGTGTTGTGATGGCTTGGATCGGTTTCCAGTGTGGTTGTATTCCGGATGAAAACGGTCTATGATGGCTTAGGCAGTTCTACGGTTATCGGGTCAGGGTTCAAAGTTCGACGTTTTAGACGAACCCAAACCTCTTACTCAGGGATAAGTACGTCGTAAAATGTGAGGTCTTCCTTGATGCGTTCTTGTACAAGTTGTATTAAGGCGTCATGACGACTCCCGTAGCGTGGGTGCTGCTGTCCAGTGTGTACTTAAAAACTTGATGCAGGGTCGCGGCCATGGCAAGCGAAATCTATACCAATGAGTAATTTACGACGACTAACGAACCTGATAAGATCTAGATCCTATGACGTGCCTTGAAAGGTTGCGCTTGAGTTGTGCGCTGCTTAGAACTGCAATGGTTTATATTGGCGCAAGTAAAAAATTGTTGGGGGTTGCGAGGTTTACATAGGACATGGCCCTGTATTGGGGGCTCATAGGGAGGATTCTAAGCATGAAGGAACCATATCTTAAAAGAACATGCCTTAACTGCTGGATCTCTACTACAACTCACTAGGAGGAAATCCCTGTGATTTAGCAATTCTATCACACCCGCGTCGAACGCTTCCGTCGAAGACTTCTCAGGGTTACTTAGGACAGGGCTCGAAGGGCATCTAGCAAACTTTTTCTCAAACATAACCCTTGAACCATAAACCAGCAGTCCTCTACGAGGATGTCCCGATGGGGAAGCCGGTGGCGCTGACGACTGTGTCCAACTGCGGAATCAGGGTGCGCTCTTGCAACTGGGGGACCCAGCGAACCCAATACCTCTTGATTCAGGAATATTCCTCAAATCGCATTAGGGATCCTACTGTAATTTTACGATATATTATATTCCTTCATTAAGGGGTATTGGGACCTCCGGGGAAAATGCACTCATGTCTGACCGACTCAACTCCTCCACTGAGAGAGCCCATGCACATTGAACCCATAAACCTTGATGGGAGTTTCCAGAAAACATGGGACCCAAACATAGTATATACCCTAAATAGTAGGATCCTGAGTATAAGGACCCTCAAAAAAAGGTACCCCTAATTTTCGGGAACTCCCTGATAAGCCTTCTGCACACCCCGGACCCTAAACTTCTTGACCATTACCTTACTTGGGGGGTCGGGGGACTTAGGAAGTAGTTAGTAAGTACGTAGACTTACAAGTACCCTAAAAGGCTGGTACTTATAGGTCCCTAAAATAACCAGTTACTAAGTCCCCCGACCCTCCAAGTAACCCTGAAGAACCTACGCTTAGGGTTCCTTATTATGCTTTCCTTGTATACGTCCTTAACAAGGCAGGTCATGCCGGGTTTAGGTAACCGTATAAGCCGGCGTCAGCATCTGGACCCGAGACACGGAAACCAAATTTGGAGCCCAACTGAGAATGCCTGGAATAGCTGTAAACAACCACGATGCTACTGAGCACCAACCAAGAATATGGTGTAGTGTTGGTTTGATAAAGCACCATTAATCTATGGTAGTAAGTAAGAGGTAGTCGGTAACTTAACACAATATCAACAACAAGACCAAGACCGTAATAGCACTTTCAAGCAGGAGCAATCTCAAAGAGTAGTCACGACAAAGTGCGTATATGTATGGCGCACGAGATGTCGTACCAGTGACAAGTGTCATCACAGAAACCGGAAAGTCAACTGAAGCTGCTCCATGCCAAACGGGCACCATCCATGACACCCTCGCTGGCAAATCCTGAGATTCCAAAACCCTAAACTACAAACGTTAACCATGCAGACATGCTGCGCACGAGCTTGGCCACGCCTCTGACCTGAGTACTACACCCAAATCCCCAATCAAATCCAGAAGACCGACAACCTGAAAACCTCCAAACCCGCCAAACTGCAAAACCTTGAACCCTAATATAGGGGCCTTAATAACTAGACCAGGATTTTGGGGCCCATTATACTATACTTACAATAAGGACCCCCGAAATAGTATCCTTAACATCTTCTCGTCCGGGCCGTTTGATTGGGGCTTAGCCAGCCATTCAGGGCCTCCCGGTTTTCGATTCGTTTCACTGGACCGTCCACAGCAACCTGCCGCATGACCTCCTGCTACAAGCCCAAGGGCAACAACAGTTCGCAGCACGGTCGTGATGGGAGTGCAACAGCCCGAGTAGAGTTGGTGCTGTGCTGCTGAGTGTTGCTACGATGTTGAACCTCGGGGTGTATAGGTATGATGTTCCGGGTAACAGTGCTGCTGTTGGGTGGCGATGGGGATCGTGAAAGCATTTATCACCGTGACAACGAGGATGTGTGTGGGCCATTATGGACGACGACGAATCCGCTCCACCGAAACGGTCTCTCAGGGTTTAGGGTGTAGGGCTAAGGATTTAGGGTTAGGGTGTAGGATTTAAGGATTAGGGTTTAGGATTAACGGACTCGAGTTCAGGGTTTAGGGTGCAGTCCGGTCTACGCTTCTGCCGCTAGTGCTGCTTCGGGGACTGACCGACTGCCAAGGGCTTATGATAAGTCTTCTATTCCGTGTATGCGAGGGTTAAAGACGAGAACATGATCCTGGACGCTGGAACACAAGTTGAATAGTCGCAGTAAGCAGCACCGCATACATCGCACTGCAAGCCCAGATGCTAGGATCGCTCTCCCCACCACTTTCGAAGGCGGACAGCCCTTGAAAAGGTCCTGGCATTCAGGAAGGGGCGACCGGAACAGGGAAGTGCCCTGACCCCCAAAGCACAAAATCCTTAGGTACCAGCTTCCTCCTTGCTTGAAGAATCAAAAGGCGTTGAGCTCGAAAACACCCGGCTTTAAAGCATGCGGATCCGGCATAGCATGCTAAAAAACCGACTTAGAACCCTCCTGCTCTCCTGGGTCTCCTCAGATCATACAAGCCTCGGCCCTAAATCCAACAGCCACTAGACCTCAACACCATTAGGGCTTAAGAGTATAGGGGCTCAGGGGTAGAGGGGTAAGCATTTAGGTTTGGGGTTTAGGCTTTAGGATTCTGCTTTAAGGGTTTAGGGTATGCCTCTGTGTTCAAGACCTTATCAAACACCGAAAAGCCGTGCAAAAACCTTGCTTCAGGACCCTAGGAGCCTGCAAGCACAAAGGTCCATGTGGGAGTTTCCGAAAATTAGGGGTACCCTATTTGGGGGTCCTTATAATAAGGATCCTACTATTTAGGGTACTATATTAGGGTCCCCTATTTTCGGAAAGTCCCATGTACCACAGTATTTACTGAGGGTCTAAAGGGCCCTGAAAGTACTTTAGGGCCAAGTACGGTACATGCTAGAGGTGTAATGGGCCCTTATTCAGTCAGGGTTGAAGGTTTGAGGCTTAGGGCTTAGGCCTTACAGAAGCTGCGCTGCTTCTTATCTTGTCCAGAATGTAGGGGTCCTACCGTCGCGGGGCCCAAATTTCCTTGAGACAACAGAAACCCAACCCACGTATTCTGTGGAAACCCTGAAAGCCGCCGTGTCCCCGCCGCGTCACCGCAGCTCAACCCAGCTCCTGAATCAAAAAAAACCCAAACCCTAACTCCTTACACCCTAAACCGACAGCCCTGAGACCCTGAAAGCCTAAATGCCCGATAAACCCTGAACCCTACCCATAGGCCCCAAAGTAGCTCCTCTTTGGGATTACCTTATAGGATTCTGAATATGAACCCCAAAACATTTTGGGGCCTCTAGGTAAGCCCTAAAGCCCTAAACCCTCCAAATCTCCACCGCGTCCTCCACTATTTGGATGGACTCGTCAGCTTTGCCTTAAGCTTGTCCGCTTGTCTTTGAGACTAGTTGGATTTAGGATTCAAGGCTGGCGTTTGCAGATCCGGCTTTAGGCTTACATATGGTTTCTTTGCGAGTTCCTTTACGGGTTCCATGAAGGGGTTTTAGGGTTTAGGGCTTAGGGTTGAGACTGTAGGAGTGGAGTTGAGCAGTTGACCCACAGGTAGTACCACCGCAGTTCCAACTGGAAAACATCGCATGAGGATACAGCAAAATCAGCTACATCTCTTGGAAATATTCTCAAAGACTGACTTAACACCTGGAACCAATCGAGCAACAAACCCTGAAATCCCTTTCTAGATTCCCCCCCAGTGATTTCAGGCACTCCTTATTCCAGTGATAGTGGGGTGGGTCTGTGGCAAGCCAGAACCCGAAACATAGAAACACCATGAAACAACGAGTTATATGCTGCTAACCCTGCAACCTTCGAACCCTAAAGCCCAAGAACACTAGCTTGAGCTTCGCGACTTAGGAAACTGTAGGCCATGACCATGTTGATCACGCAGGAGACCTGGAATTGACGAAGTGCTCTGGCGTTTAGAATTTGGGTGCTCTATGTTGCCCAAGGCTCTAAGGACTCATATCTTACGGCTTTTTTGGGCCTCAAGACCACAATGTTATGTTAGGCTTTTGGGCCGTTTTGAGCCTTAGGGTAAGGGATCCTTTAAAGGCAGTTCCAAAGTTTCCATAAGCGGAACTACGTACGGGGGCTTAGGGTGGTGTTCTGGGTTTAGGGCTCACTTAGCTGAGAGGGCTTGTTGTTGGGTTTCATCGTGCTTCCTGTGGTTCCAGAGATTCGGGCTTAAGATCTAAATCAAAATCTTGGGTACTGCTCCCATACAGTAAGTTTTTTTGTTTTTTTTTGCGGGCCCTTTTCCGACTGCAGTAAAGCAAGAATACCTTACCAGGTAGAGCCTATGTTGGGGCCTCAGAGCGGAGAAAGTGATGACCCTTCAACTCAACCCACAAATGCCTGATTGGTTCGTCATCTGACACTGCAAAGAGATCTTCTTCCAGTCGCAGAGCTGGCCTTCCCCTATCAGGCCATCTTTCATTGCGACGGTAATCTGGTCGTTGATCATCTTGATCCTGTCGAGGACTTCTGACGCAGTGTAATAGGTGGCCCTCTCAGACTCAGATCCCAGAGTGAGACCGAGCATAGTTCCGCAGCGGGACACGAATTTATCCGTGGTTCCAGTCGGCACAGCTTGACCACGCGGCATTGCGAAAGGTTTAGGGTTTAGGGCTACTATTAAGAGCCTAATATATCCATATTATGAAGATTGTCCAACTGTTACTGAGTGGGGGCAGTAGCCAATCTAAAGCCCTAAGCCCTAAACCCAGAGGTTGGATTCTGTGGCATTTGAGGCCCCGAGCCCTTTAGGGTTCTATTGTTCCGCTGGCTTTTTACTTTCTTGCGGTGTGAGGTATAGGAGTGAAGGTTCAGGGTTAGATAGTTTTCTGGAGATTCTAGAAGAAGCCCTGAACCCGAACACCACTAGAACCCTTTGCAGCTCTTCGGCTATGTGGCATGGTATGGCTGTGGATTCCGACTGCAGGCGCCCTCACGCCTAAGGCCTAAGAGTTCATAGAGCTTGCTTTCCGGTGTTCCATTGGGCGTTGTGGGATGATGTGCTGTCTCGTAACAGGGTGATACAAGGGTTCTAACAAATTTAGGCGTAGTATCCCTCATACTTCGTTATACCGTCAAACCTACTCTGATGGACAGCTGGCTCTGAAGGTCCCTACCTGGACCCCAACAGTATGTAGAATAATAGCCTTTTATAGGTTTTGGGCCATTCGTTTACTTACTTTTGGGGGTCTAGGTCTATTACAGCTCACCGGGCTCAAGCTTTCCGGCTTCGGTCGGGTAGAACTCAAGGTGTAGGGCCAGCTTGGGGCTTCCAGGGGTTTAGGGAGTAGGAGGTTTTCGGGTTCCCGGATCAAGCTATACCCTTTTTAGAACCATAATGACGATAATATTGTTAATATTCTCTTTTGTTCATATAAAAGACCTATATAATTCCTAGGGAGCTATAGCAAGTTGAAGGATTAAGCGATGACGGGCTCCGGGGAAGAGGTGGAGCGTTTCATGCAGTCCTAGGAAGAGGCGGCTCCCTGCAATCAACTTCGGCTTTTGCGCAGCCGCGCCGGCCAAGAAAACCGAAAAGCAAGGTAACTACAAGCCAGGCCCTAAACCCTAACCCCTAAACCCTCAACCCTAAACCCTAACCCCTATAAACCCTCAACCCTAAACTTAAACCCTAACCCCTAAACCCTCAACCCTAAACCCCAAACCCTAAAAAGCCCTTAGCACACTAGAACTCCATGGAAAGCTACCGGGCTTACACCATCCAAGTCCGAATCTGACTCCCCATGAAATGCTTCAACCCAAAACCCTAACGTAGAGAGTTTAGGGTTTAGGGTTTAGGGGAGAGGCCTTAATACTTAGAACAGGGTTTTGCGGGGTCGTTATGATAACTACAGTATAGGATACCCTCAAACCCTATCCTAATTATGAAGGCCACTACATTACACCGTCTTTACGACCCTAAACCCTAAACTCTAAACCCTGGGGGCCTCAACCCTAAACTGCCAAACCCTCAACCCCTAAACCCTAAACCCCTCATCCATAAACCCTAAACCCCTATGCGCGAAAACTCCCACCTTGAAGCAAGCGTTGGCCCATCGGCTAAGCGCCTGCGAGGCGATGGGTTTAAAGCGAAGCTGTAGCGGGCTTTGGGGTTGTAAGCGGTGTAGGGTTTAGGGTTTAGGGAGTTTGGGGTTTAGGGTTTAGGTGCTTTGGGGCAGGCCGTTTAGGGTTTAGGCTTTAGGGTTTAGGGGGTTTGGGGTTGTAAGTTGTAGGTTTTATGGGTTTTAGGGCTTGTGGGTGTAGCGTTCGGGGTTGAGGGGTTCCTAAGGTTCGGGATTGAAGATCGAAGGCCAAGCAAGATTGGTATTCAGGCTTGGGCGCCCAGATATCTTACCTTTGGTTAGTAGGGCATGGAGGAATGGGGTACAATTATAACAAATATTACTACCATTCTTCCATTCCCTACTACCCAAAGGTAAGATATGTAAGCATTTTTGCTGTTAGGCACAGGGCTACAGCATCTGACATTGGCTCTGCTTTCTTGGCGGGGCAAGGGGGGCGATTGGGTGCAGGTGTCCGTGAATACGTGTGAGGGCTCAGGGTTTGAGAAAGGAGGTGTTCCGCAAGTCAGCGCTGATGTGTTCGAAGTTCTAGGTGCGTGAAAGCTGCCTGCTAAGATAATGGGCCACTACAGCCAGTTACAGCAAGCCATATCACATCATCATGGTTAGCAGAATTATATTCTCTGGGTTTCTTGGAAGCGTAAGCCCATATGCATCAGAGAGGCCAAAACGAAAAGTACATCATATCAAGGATCCCTCTATGCGCTGAGGTATATGGTATTACGGATGCCTCTACAGCTCAAGGTCTATCTTCCCTGTCCCGCCATACTCCAAGATTTGTCCTTACTTGAAGGACCAGGGTCCATGTACCTGACATGGTTCCTTCAAGGGTACCATAAGGGGTTCCTTTGAGGGTTCTTTCATGAGGTGTCGGTTTCAACAGTCCCCAAAGCTACATCTAAGAAGCTCTATACTAAACAATCATCAAGGAAATTTAAAAAGCATCCCAAATCGATACCTAATTGAGACTTTAGGGTTCAGGCTTTGCGGGCCCGGAGTTTAGAGTCGATGGTTTAGCGATTTAGGGTTTATGGTTCAGAGTTTTGGTCTGGCTTGGGCGCTGGGTTCAGGGCTTTGAGGGGGGGGCTGTGGATTAAGGGCTCTACCCTAAACCGTAAACCGTAAACCCTTCCTAAACCCTAAACCCTGAACCCTAAACCCTAAACTTTAATCAGCACGCAAGAACTCGAAAGCCGAAACGTCGGGCTTAGGACCCTAGAACTCAGGGGTACTGTAGAAGTCTTGGTATATCAGAACTTTGGTGTATAATCCACTATAGTTCTCCAGGAACCCCAAAATAATATTGGTAATTATGTAGGCTTCCATATTAGCTTCAACATCCGGGCCGTCAGGATTGGTACTGCAACCCTTTCATCTTCTAAGAATGTCTCAGGTAAGAAAAGATGAAGCTGGTGACATGATGGTACCAGCTAGTGATTATGGTGAACTCTGTTGGTTGGCTGTCGCCGGCCAGCCTGGGCATACTCAACTCGGGTACTCATTCGGTCGCGCTTCTCAAGCTGCTTCCGGAAGATGTTGACAGCCGTTTCTTGGAAGTCGGCAGAGATCGATTGGAGGCTCGAACCCGCCCTAAACCCTAAACCCTAAACCCCTAAACGAAATGGCCCTTTTGAGGTGTTCGGAGACTCGGTATACAAATGAATAGACCTACTTTTGGATGATTTTTCTGCCTCGGTTTCTGGTGAGGTTCCTGCATGCAAGATGGACCCTAAGTCAGGGCATGAGTCCTTCAATGGGATTTACAGTGTATTGGGGCCTGCAGGCTTCCAGGCTTTGGGACTTTAGGGTTTGCGTCAACGTTGATGATACCTACTTGTCGGGTATCATGGGGAACTAAAGGTTAACTTTTTGGGTTATTTAGGGTTTATATAGGGACTATACGACCCAAAAAAGGTTAAAGGTTATCTGCTCTACTACTAGGGATAGTCCAAGTAAACACAGAAGAAGATGATGGCTCTGCATGCAACAAGGACCCTGACCCTAACCAGCAACGAAGCATCGCCACTGATAAATGAGGCCCGAATCCAAACATTGCCTCAGGGCCTAATTCAGGCAGAGGGTCGTGCGGAGTCGAGCAGATCCCGAAGAGCAGACATGGAACTCCAGTTGCGAAGGGAGTCCCAGTAGCGAATTTCCTGAGTTAGTGATTCTGGGTCGAGGGGCGGCGGGTCTTGGCGTTCAAGAGCCTGGTTCCCATCAGGAGAGTGGTTGCAAATGCTACTTCTTGATCTTACGAACAAGCGAAAACGAAAAAAAACTTTCCATTACCCATCATCCTCCAACATCATCCCTGCTAGGACCAATGCTACCTACATCGACCTTCGGTTGTAGTACTGCCTCCCCTAAACCCTAAGCCCTTGTTCATTGACTATTGACTCTGGTATCCGAACGTACAGAGCTCTGTGAAATGCGGAAGTGACACCCAAACCCCTTAACCCTAAACAAACCCCACAACCCTAAACCCATCAACCTTGGCACAGATTTCTAAACCCTAAACAAACCCCACAACCCCAAACCCATCAACGCTTGCACAGATTTCGGTCAAGAGGCATTTTCGGCGATTAAATTGCAGACCTGGCTCGACCCGTGATCGAAAGCACTAGCATGCTGCTATGAGCGTTGTAATTGTGACTATTATTCTATGAACCAAGATTGGTAATATTGATACTGATATGACTACTGCGATTATTTCTGCATTTACCAAGCATTATTCTTGATGCTACTATGATTATGGGGTTGTTTTCTTGGTATTGCTGTTGCTATTATTGTTATCAGTGCTATATTATTATTATGATGATTGTTGTTGCCTAGGTTCCCGAGTAGCCCCCTTATAGTAAGGGCACCCGTTTTCCTACTATTCGGTTTTATTTAGGAAAAAACAAAACGGGCAAAAGGATATTACTCAGGAACCTCGTAAACCCTAAACCCCCATAGATCCCTCATGGAACCCTTGAAGGATCCCTTATAGAGCCCCTTAAGGAACCGTTTCAAAAAGGGTACTACTCGGGGAACCTAGTGATAAACAAAGCCGAAGCCAACTAGGAACCTGAAGCTTAAATCCCAAAGTGTTTCCTTTAAGGGATTCCTTTAAAGCAGCTGTATTTATGGTTCTTCTTATTATAATGCCCAATATTACTAGCATTGCCATTGTTACTATTGTTGTTGGTGTTGTCATTTGACGTTGTGATGACTGTTTTTGTTGTTACAGACTGGTACTATTGTTATTACTGTTATTATGATGATTGGTCTTGTTGTTACAGAGTGAAACTCCTTTTAAGGCGCCTGTCCGATCTCCAGCGTCCGCTCTGCGGAGGTCGCTTCGGCCCTGAGAAAACGAGGCGTTCGAAGGCTTTCGAGGAGCTTTTACTTGGAGGGTCGGGGGACTCCGTAACTGGTTATTTTAGGGACTTACAAGTACCATAACCCCAATTTATAAGTCTACTTACTAACTACTTACTAAGTCCTCCGACCCCCAAGTAGAGGGTTCAGGGTTAAGGCCTTTCTAAGGCTTTCAGGGTTCGATCCAGGGTTTAGGGCTTTCTAGGGCGTTTGGCGTTTAGAGTTTAGGCCTTTGCAAGAGGAGTTTAGGGTTTCGGGTTTAGGGCTTTGGGCTCTTTAGGGTCTATGGCTGCAGGGCTCCTTGCTTTGGATTTTGGCTGCTGCAGAAGTTTAGGGTTTATGGTTTAGGGTTTAGGATGTAGAGCTAAGGTTTTTAGGCTTCGGGATATAGGGATAGTGTGCAGGATTTGCGGCTTCACTTTGCTGCTAAGGTCCTTTACTACGTAGTTCTGGTTTGTCTTTTTCCCCAAGGGTCCAAGTATGTACCTAATAATCATATACTCTCCGAAATCTTAACCTACAGAACTACTATCCTAAAACCGAGTTCCTGATTATTGGGTCCTTTGGACCTTTGGGGTTTGGTTCACAGTACCAAGGCTGGTTCTGCTCAGCCAAGCCATTCTGCAGTGGGAAACTCCTAGGAAAATCGGGTGTGGAGTTTTGGGGATCGGGTTATTCTGGGGGTTCATCTGGTCTGACAAGCTTGTGTCAAGGGCTCTTGAGCTGGCTGTCATCTACATGCTCGTTTAGTTCTAATGCAGAGTTTACACATGGTTTTGCTGGCTTTTCGGAATTCACGGTGTGGTTAGGATCCCGGGCTGACGCTTTCGGGTTCCAAGAGGCTTCGAGGAACCGGGCTGGCCTCGCTTGCAGCAAGATCCTTTTGGCTGCAGCGAACTCACCCACGTGGCTCAGAAACCTGCATGGCCAGCCGCCCGCAATCTGTCTATCCTCGCTTCTCGTTCTCTTTCTCTCTCTCTCTCTCTCACACTGTCTCTTTCTCTCTCTCAGGTCTTTCTCTACTTTGTCTCTCTCTCGTCGCTCTCTCTTTTTCTCGCCATTTCTTTCCTCTGCGAACTTTCAGGATGTATGTTTCTCTCTCTCTCTCTCTCTCTCTCTCTCTCTCTATGTATATAAAGAGTTACATATGTATGTGTATATACAGACACACATACACATACGCACGCAATCATGCAACAGACCTGAACAAGTGCACCTGTTCGATTTACTATAGGGGCCTTAATTATCGTATGCTATACTTCAACACCATATTCTATTGGTTACCTATACTATAGTATCCTGATAATTGGATCCCTTATAGACCCCTTGAAGCAACCATTTGCAGGGAACCCTATTTTAATCATTAATATGACTGTGTTGACCGCTTTAGTCCCGCCACCTGCCGAGGACAGGTTTAGGGTTTAGGGTTTTACTACAGTGTGAACCGCTTTTGCCCTGCCACCTGCCGAGGACAACTCGGCGTTCTTGCAGATTCTCGCAGTTCGGCTCGTCAAGCATCTCGCAGGGGTCTACTATAGGGGCCTTAATTATGAGAATAGGGTTACAGGGCTCCCTTTAAAGGGTGCCTTAAAGGGTTATATTATGGATACTATAAGGGTACTATACTATAGGGCCCATTCTACTATGGTCATAATAAGGAACCCCACCAAAAATACAGGTTGGTAATTCTTTAAGCCCCTGTAGTAGGTCTTCACTTGGGGGGTCAGGGGACTTAGTAAGTAGTTCGTAAGTAGACTTATAAGTACCCTAAAAGGGACCCTAATTGGGGTTATGGTACTTATACGTCCCTAAAATAACCAGTTACTAAGTCCCCTAGACCCTAAACCCTAAACCCTTACAGAATCCCTATAGATCCCTTTAAAGGGGCCCTTAAGGAACCCCTTATAGTTACTAAGTCCCCCGACCCTCCAAGCAGGGGCTTCAGCTTCAGGGGGGCATCTCCTGCTTGATATCTAGAAAACTCTCATACAGGAGTGGCCGAAAATTCGGGGGTACATGCTTTTGCCGGGTCCTTATAGTAAGGATCCTACTATTTAGGTTACTATCTTAGGGTCCCCTATTTTCGGCAGCTCTCATATTTCCATGTTCAGGAAACTCCAACAAAAACCCGGGTGTTGGCCACCGTGCTGGTAGCTTGCCGAAGGCTCATATCGGGGGCCTTAATAATTAGAATAGGGTTAGCCTTCCAAGGGTTCCTTAAAGGGGTCTATAAGGGATCTATAAGGGTACTATAGTATAGAGGGCTTTAATAATTAGAATTGGGTTTGGGTGGTATAGTATATTAGTACATTATAACAAGAGTAAGGGATCACAAAGCCCTATTCGAATTATTAAGGCCCCTACATTGCATTATCAGGTTTCGTCGGGGTTTAGGGTTCCTTTCAGGGGTGTCTCTACGAGTTCCGTATGGGTCGATGTTTTGTACCAGGGCCTCGAATCACGGGTAGTTTAAGCTTCAGGGATCCTTCAAAAGGATCCTTTAAGGGATACCAAGGGATCCCTTAAGGGATACTATAAGGGTACTGTAAGGGTTTAGGGGTTTAGGGTTTGAGGCTCAGGATTTGGGGTATAAGGTTTAGACGGTTTAGGCCGTAGAGCTCTCAATCCAGGGGCCCTAGGGAATGGAACTCCAGATATTCAGGCTTCTCTGTTTTGGGTTGTGTGGTTCAGTGATAAGGGTTTGGTGGTTGATCCCTCGGTGAAGAATGCCGTTGTTCCCAGATCATCAATCAGATCGTTCAATTGAACTCTAGGCTTTGGCGAAATATCGCGACATGTTCAGGACAAGCTACGCTTGGAGTTCCAGTGTTCAGGGTTGCGGTCTTAGGGTGCATGGATAACCTTAAACCCCAGACCCCAGATCGTGGGGCTCTGTCCCGAATCTTGGGGCGTGGGAAGCTGATTGAGACATTTCCGCCGAGCCTTGCACAGGGCACGCCGGACGGTCTGGTATCCTGTCAGGGCCAGGCAAGGTTTCATTGGGTTTAGCTTGAAAAAGGGGTCCGAAGCAAGATTTTCCATTGATTTCGAATATCCCCCTCCATTACCACGGAATTGAAGCTTTACTTGATCAGCGGTCCATGGGTTGAGAAGCCGCGTAAGTATGGAGCACAGTAGAAAACTCTCTGGCCGAGGCCTCAGCTCGCGCCAAGCGTGCTATCAGCATCTACAGGGGTTCTATAAGCCTTGTATAGGTCATCACGAAGGCAACTAATATGAATTCTACAAGGGCTCGTAAACGGGATCTACAAGGTTTCAAAGAAGGGTGCTACTAGGAAGCCCCAAATCAAAGGAAACTTTGAGACCCATCCCAAGTCACCTATAGTCCCCATTGCAGTTCCTGATTGGGTTTAGAATATTCAAAAATAACAACGAAACACAAAAAAAAACATATACAATACATAGTGTATGATTAGGATCCTATGAGGTACACAAAACGAGGAATTACAACGCAAACCAGAGTCAGAAAACGCTGCAAAAATAGTTCGATGTCTCGGGAGGACGGTGCCCGAGCAGTACCTTGGGTTTAGCGTTTAGGGTTCATGGATCCGTGGAATCGCCGTCAAGTCCTTTAAAGTCCGCTATGGTTCCTTTTTGTGCCGGGCTTGTCTCTATGGCAAATATTATGGTCTAGGATCCTAACCTTGACACGGGAGAGTACAGGGAGCAGCATAAACCTGTTGCTCAAGCACCCAGTACCAGTACGCTTAAGGATCAAGGCTAGCGACTTTGTATGCGGGGCTTCTGGCACGCAGAGGAAACATTCCAAAAGTCATAAACCCTAAAGCCCCTATACCAACACCCTGAAACCCTATATATCCACAACTCGAAAACCCTGTAGGGTGCATGGCTCCCATATCCAGTCCTCCGGCTTTGTGGCAGTACTCCAGCAATGCCTTCAACATGCTTGGAGGGTTTAGGTTTTAAAGTTTAGGGAACGATTTCATTCCTGCGTTGGGCCTCCAAGTAGATGTACGCTCAGTTACCATAGTGCTGACCTTACTTACTAAGTCTCTTGATCCTTGAAATAGGAAGGGATCCTCCTGTAGAACCCCCTAAGCACCTTATGCGGTTTCCTCCAGGACCAGATGCCCGTTACGAACTAAACGGCTGATACGTGTGATCCTCATTGTTCAATCCAGACACGCATGCCCTAAACCACAGTAGGCACCGTCTGAAGCTTCCGAACTTTCCAGGAGCTACGCTTGATGACATAAATCCTGCACGACCTTAAGGACCCTAAACTATGGGAATCATGGTTTGTTCCTTATCATGAGTAATGCAGGATTTATATCATCAACCGTATTGAATACGAGATCTTTGAAAGAACAGCGACACTTGGTGGCACTGGGGTCGCTTGCATGCAGATTATAAGCAAGGTACATACACCAGGCTGTAAGTACCCGAAGTGAACCTCGAAGTGAAAAAGTTCGCTGAAGTAAATCTCAACGAGTTGCTCATGACATTTTAGGTGTATGGGTTGAGGGTTGAATATTACGGGCGTCGGGGTAATGTTTTCTAGCGCAACTTCTGTACTCCATGCACAACCCGAGCCGTGGAAACCTTGCTCTGTTAACCACCCCAACACCACACAAAGGTCTGCTCCACACTCTAAGCCGCTCCCCCTAAAGCAGGCTCCTCAACCCTACCTTAACCCCGAGTAACCTACCTTTTTTTCATAGGATTGTAACGGGAGGGGGGCAGATACCCCCCGCAAACGCATAAGCTTCAGCGAGTGTTATTGAGAGGTAAATTTGTTTTGAGGGGTATTTTGCGCATCGTGGCTATCGAGGCTTATTGAGTCTTATCTGGATTTCCTATTGAGGCTTACAGGGGGTCCCAGAGAAGCTGTCAGGCGGGCCTATTGAGGCTCAAAAGGGTGCCCAGAAAGAGCTCTGCAGGTCCCCGCCCAAAGCGCTCTCAAGGGCCGAAAATTTCAGAATAGCATCAGAACCGTAAACAAATCAAATCAAATCGATGTGGTTTGCGAATTGCATGCGCGCACGATACGATTCGGACTCGACAGTCGCCCATGGCTGACATTTTCTCACGGACCGTGGTGGAAAGTCGGGTGCGCCCTAGCCTAGTGGGCTCGAGTCTCTCGGAGACAGGAGACGCCTGTTGCCGCTGAACCAAGTATAAGGAATTTTTTTTGTATCTCGGCTTCGTTTTTTTACAAATGGGTTTCAAAACTGGTGCTTTGGTAGTTCTGTTGAAACAGCATGATTTGAATCGTGTTTTCGATTTGGGTTTCGTGGTGGTCGTTGAAGATTACGAAACGATGGTTCAAAACTTGGTATGTTTCGACTGCTGCGGAAAACTTTGGCCTGGATTTGATTGCGAAGACTTCAAAACTGGTGTGTTTTCCCCTGTTTTATGCATTTCAATTCAGGATTGTGTCGAGCATCGGAAACAAACCATTCATAAAACCTACTAACTTAAATCGATAAGATATTGTGTAGGAAACTGTAGCAACCAAATCTTCATGACATGCGAATAAGAGTGTGTGTGTGTGTGTGTGTGTGTGTGTGTGTGTGTGTGTGTGCGGTGTGTGGGTCCCAAAGACACGGTGTATGTATCATGTCACACCATAACCCCCTTTCACACCCCTCAGGCCCATAAGCTATCGAAGGCCGACGGCCTGCCAAGGCATCTGCTCTGCCAGGGACAGGGAATCAGGGCTCCTGTAAGACAAATACATAGTAACTAAAGCAAATAGAAGTAGCCGAACAGGGTTTAATCTGTTACCCAAACCCTAAAAAACCCTTACAGTGAACGCCAAAAACTTGGAAACCCCACGGCCTGGTTCCAGCACTCACAGAACGCAGCTCCAGCGCTGATTTCCAACTTTTGGTCATTTCCATGTTTGCTTTTGAAACAAAAAGTTGGAAACCCAGCCAACAGCAAAAAACATTCGAAGGGTTGTGCCCTCGTCCCTTGCACTTTGAACCCCCCTTGCACTTGCCCCTTTCCACTCCACCTGCACTTCGCCTTTTGCACTTTGAACCCTTGCCTCTTGCACTTTGCAGCCCTTGCACTTTGCACTCTCGCTTTTTGCACTTTGCACCCTTGCACTTTGAACCCGCGTCTTGGAAAGGGTGTCTTTTGCCTTTCCAAGGGCGCCTTTCAAAAGGTGCCTTGAAAGGGTGTCTTGGAACAGCGTGTGTTTCAGGGATGCCTTTTCAAAGGTGCCTTTTACTGGCCGTGTCGGAAAAGGGTGCCTTTCCAAAGGTGCCTTTCAAAGGGTGCCTTTGAAGGATGCCTTTTGAAGGGTGCCTTTCAAAGGGCGTCTGAGAAAAGAAGTCTTTAAAAGGCTTCCTTTGCAAGGGCCCCTCCAAAAACACCCTTTGAAGGCACCCTTGAAAAGGCATTCGTGAAAGGCGCCATTTTTTTGCATTCTCGCTTCTTGGACTTTGAACTTCGCCTTGCACCTTCCATTTTGAATTCTTGTCCCTTTGCACTTTTTGAACCTTCTTCTTGCACTTTCTTTTTTTGGCTGTTGGCACAAAAACTGCATTTCCAACTTTCCGTGCACACTAAAGTTGGAAACTTCCCTTGTTTCTTGCACTTTGAACCTTGCTTGCACTTTGCACCTTGCACTAAATCCATGCCTTTTGCTTCCACCCTGCACTTTGCACCCTTTCCACTCCACTGCACTTCGCCTTTTGCACTTTGCACCCTTGCATTTGCACTTTGCACCCTTGCGTTTTGCACTTTGCACCCTCGCTCCTTGCACTTCGTACCCGTGCCTTGCATGCCCCTTCCAATCTGATCTTGTCCCTTTGCACCTGAAACCCTCGCCACTTTGCACTCTTGCCTTGCACTCGCTCTCACATTGAACTTGCCTTTTGCACTTTGCACGCTTGCTCTTGCACTTTTTGCACCCTTACTCCTTGCACTTTAAATTCTTGCTTCTTGCACTTTGCACCCCGCGAGAATTGTAGGGACGAATTTGGAGTGCAAAAGGCAAGTGCAATCAAGGAGCAAAAGCAAAGTGCAAGGATCGAAGGCTTCAAAAGTGCAACGAACAATTTTGCACTTTCTGCTGCACGTGCGCGTGCGCGCGCGCAAACAACTGCATTTCCAACTTTCCGCGCGCATTCTAAAGTTGGAAACTTGGAAGCATGCAAGTTTCAAACTTTTCGTTTTGTTGTTTTGGTTCCATGGTTTGCCTCCTCCGTGCAAGTTTTGCTGTGCAGCCTTTTCTTTTCAAAACTTTCGTCCTCCTTTCGTGTTCGACTTTGCTTGAGCAAATGTTCCAGCCTCCTCCGTAATTTTGGCTGTTCCCACCAATTCTTTCAAAAGTTTTGCTGTTCTTCCTTCTTTTTGTAACTGATAAAAGTCCTGCCTCCTTGGTGCAAGTTTTGGTGCAAGTTTTGCTGTGCAGCCTTTTCTTTCAAATTTTTGCAACTTGCTTTTCCTTTTTGTTGAAGTTCCTACCTTCTCCGTGCAAGTTTTGCTGTGCAGCCTTTTCTTGCAAAATTGTTGCTGTTCTCCTTCTTTCGTGTGTTCGACTCTCGCTTTGCTTTTGTTGGTGTTCCTGCCTCCTCCGTGCAAGTTTTTTGGTGTTCACGTTTGCTTTCAAAATTTTTGCTGTTCTTCCTCCTTTGCGTGTTCCACGCTTCCTTTTTGTTAATGTTCCAGCCTCCTCCGTGAAGTTTTGGTGTTTTCAATTCTTTAAATTTTTTTTGCTGTTCTGCCTCCTTTTCGTGTTGTCGACCCTTTTTTCGATGTTCCAGCTCTGTGAAGTTTTTGGGTCCAACCGTTTCTCATGTGTTCGGCTCTCCCTTCCCTTTTTGCTGATGTTCCATAAAGGTTTTGGTTTCCGACCATTGCTTCCTCATTTTCGTGCGTGTTGTGCTTCCTGTCTTTTCAAGCAAGAAAAGTTGGAAACTTTTCCATGCCAGCAAGAAAGTTGGAAACTTTTCCATTCCAGCAAGAACCACAACTTTCATATGCATCAAACCAATTGTTTTTCGAGGCAGGTTTCTTTGGGTCAGTCATGAGCACGCACATGTTATTCTTGCTTTTGCCATGCGCATGCATACAGTACTTTTCTAAAACTATTAATGTAGAGAGAAACATATGGGTGGTTGTCAAAATTACGGTCCCTTTTTGGTACTTAATATCGTACGGCACCTAATATTTGGGATACCGAAAAAGGGAGCATAATTTTGATAACCACCCATATATTTATACAAACATGTGTATATATATATATATATCACGGTATATCACGGCGCTGAACCCTCTGCCGTTGTCCTGCGAATCTCATTTGGCCTCTGCGGGCGCGCTTTCACCGGGATGTAGCATATAATGGCGTTCGCGTGGTCCAAATCGTTTCGCTGAGCCGCAAAGTCCATCATCGCAATTCCGGTCGCTGACAACCTCGCAAAAGGAGGATCGCCAAGTTGCTGAGGCATGTGTTTGCTGCCCTTGCCAATAGTTTTTCAACGAAAGCCATCGAAATTCGAACGGAACATAAGTACTTGCCAACGCTGCCGAGGCGCGCGGCTGTTACTGCCTTGGGCCTTGCCGCTGCTGCTTGAACTCGCTGTTATAATTATGTTTGCGCGCAAAACACGTAGTTTTGGAACGAAGCCGTCGCTGCCAATACCATGACAACATAAGCTCTTGCCAAGCTGCCCAGGCGCGCGCTTGTTTTTGCCTTGGGCCTTGCCGCTGCTGCTTCACCTCGCTGTCTTCATAGCCTCTATGCGCAAAACACGTAGTTTTGGAACGAAGCCGTCGCCGTCGCTGCCAATACCAGCACAACATAAGTACTTGCCAGCGCTGCCGAGGCGCGCGGCTGTTACTGTGTTGGGCCTTGCTGCTGCTACATCCCCTTCGCTGTCCAAAATACGTAGTTTTGGAAGGAAGCCGTCGCCGTCGCGCT